TAAAATTTAATAAATCCTAAAATATCACAAAATTCACGTGATAAACCCGAATTATTAAAACCGGTTCCAACCTCTAAGTTTTAGTATGTAATTTTTTAAAGCCTTTCACAGGCCTATAAATGTGATATTAAGATAGTCATTCTTTTTGTTTTTGTTTCGATATTTCTTTTCTTACTTATTTTCTTGCTTGTATCTTTTATCATTATTTCCTATACCTCTGTTTTTTTTATCTGTTTTTTTTTTGTTAAGCTTTTTAATGAAGTGTGCAGCTGCTCCAGCTAGTGATCATTGGGATCAAATCTTGAGGATTCAATATGAAACATAGTTCTGCTAAGCTGATTACATCTGAGCCTTAGTGTTGAGTAAGTCTCTTTGTGTAGGATTATAGTATAGAAAATTGTATTCCCTATTAATATATATTTTTTAATACTTCCAATAAAGCATGAGGCAGGATCACCAAATATAAAAAAATATATGTATATAGGTTTAGCTAACTGAAAACATTTTTGTATTTTACTTATAATTAATAAAATAAAGATAGAAATGCTAAAATAAAAAAAATGGTTTTAAGCTAATTTTAAAATACAGTAGTTTTAAAAAAATATATTAATTTGAAACCTATTCTTAGCACCTAGTCCATATTAATAAGGTTGACGTTAACGAAAATCAAGTTTCTTTACAATAAATGAAATACGTAGCCAAAAAGATAATTTTTAATCGATCAATCGATTATAGTAACCGGTAACTTACCGCGGTAGTTTACTAGTTTACCGGTAGATCTTTTATTTCCAACCAATGAGATTGATTTATCAGATTTCAGATAATGTATCGGTATCTAAAAAATTATACCGATACTTTCCATTGAATTTTTTGTTTTACTATTTAATTGCGAATAATATATTAATTGCGCTCCTTTGGGCGTTAGTATGAGTTTAGAACGTTTCATATTTGTCACCATTTTTTTGCATAAATTTTACCTATGAAGAAAGGTAATTCTGATGATCCACCTTTCTCTTCAAACGACGAGCCAACGTTGTCTGGAGAAGAAAGCAAGGATCCGCTTAACATTACTCCGCCACCAATTCCTCCTCTGCTTGGTGGAGACTTAGTCCTTGGGCCTATTGGTGACATTGGCACTACGGAAGAAAGAAACTTGACGTGAGTTTATGAATAAGTTTCTTCAGTCTTAAATGTTGCTTGATAGACTTAAAACTCTAGCGACACCATGAACAATAACAGGTTAGTTTTAACACTATATTCTATATGCACATTTTGGGTTTCGATTGGATTATGAATCAGAGAACATCATTCGGGCCATTTTCGTGAGGACCCTCTTCGTTTTATGATGCAAATGGGTGCATTTTATCAAGGAACGGTAGGCCATAAATTATCAAACAGAACTCAATCTTTTCGTGTATATAATACGCATTCCTTGTCCTAATAAGTTATTTTATACGTTAGGGGTGGAGAAGTTATAAAAACTATATCGGAACTCGAATATTTTACGAAGGATACACTGAAGAGTTGAAAGAACGTGTATTAAATAGTGAACGTGGTAAATGTTATTTATATTTGAATTATGTTATATTTTACTCAATTACCTTGTTAAAATTTGAATTCTGTCGGTTTTGTCTGGTTTTGTCTCGTAGTTCTTTACATGATCGCTTATTTAGCTGAGAAGCAGGTCAACTTTCTTTCACAGACATTTCCAAATGCCACCCCAAAAATGATTGCTAAGCGAAAGAAAAAGTTTGAAAAAGAGCTACAAATCGTGGCCAACGGAATGGTGGATAAGTTAATTGCCGATCTTAATAGTATACGGTTTCTCAGGTTTGTTCCGTAACTGCAACAATAAAACTAAATATTCAATAGATTTTGAACAATATTATCATTTACTTCTTAGAGTTTTCGTTTACTTTGTCAATAATATACTAGCGAGAATGTATCACCAAGGAATACATATATCTGAACGCGAGTTTCTTGAGGTAAGTTTTATGCGTACGAATTCTCTCTCATTTCTATAAATTACACTATGATTTTTAATATTATCATTTAATCCATAAACATAAATTTTATCAATTTGACAGCTTCGACGTGTAGCTATTCATGCTGCCCAAAATTCTCAATCACTTATTATTCTTCCATGTCATAAATCTCATATAGATTATCTTGTTATTTCTTACATATTTTTCCGCTTGGGCCTCGCCCTTCCGCATATCGCCGCGGGTGACAATCTTGACATGCTTATTATCGGTAAAGTCCTTAGGCGCGGAGGTGCATTCTTTATTCGACGAACATGGGGTGATGATCAACTTTATGGCAGTATTGTAAAGGAGTACTTAGAGTGCTTATTGGAAAGTGGTCATAGTATAGAATGTTTTATTGAAGGAACAAGAAGTCGTACAGGGAAGCTTTTACCTCCTAAGCTTGGTATCTTAAAAATCATTTTCGAATGTATATTGTCTGGTAGAGCCAAAGACTGTTGGATAGTACCAGTGTCCTTGCAATATGATAAAGTAATTGAGACCGAGACATATGTTAATGAGCTGTTGGGTAGTCCCAAGGCAAAGGAAACTTTATGGAGTGTTGTAACAAATACTAGACTATTACAATTGAAATGGGGACGCATAGATGGTTTGAAAATCATTCTTATGTTAATAATCTACATTAAACTTATATGATATCGTAATGACATCTGTTTTCCAAATTTTATAATAGTGCGAATTGCCAAACCATATTCACTACAATCGTTCATTGAAGACCAGAAAAAGAGGCGACAGTAATATTTTATACAAATTATCAACTTGTTATTAACCTTCTAAAACTGTAATAATTTATTTTGCTTATTTAATTCTTTTTTTTATCAAGATATATTGATCCAATGAACGATACACAAAAGAGTACTTTGTTGAGAGCACTTGGTTACCAGTACGTATTTTTATTTTATTAAATTTCATTATTATTATTTTTAAAACAATGATCATTCTTATTTTACTTTAGGGTTTTATCTGACATTGTATGTTTGTTTTCTTAATTGAGTTTTTCTCTTATCTATCAACCTATAACTGTTGATTCTATTTACTTGGATCTCATGCATACCAATTTACAAATAAACATATTTGACAGAATTCAGTTTCAGTTGTAATGCCTACTGCTCTTGGTAATTAATTTTTATTGCGATTGTATCGAATGTTCATGGTTATTCTTTATTTATAATGCATAACATTGTATCGTATAACCATCTTTCGCGCGAAGTTGGAACTGTAATACTTACACTCCGCGGCAGAGTGAGTTTTAATTACTTTGATATTATTCATATCAAAATCATGTAAAAATGATAAATGTTCGTTCATTTAAACGACAACTGCAGGGTGTTGGAAGGAATGAATTAATAAGACGTGTAGATTGGTTAAAAGCCGCAATTTTGGCCAAAGGAGGACGTGTTAAAGAATTTGGCGGTATGAGTACTGCAGAGATTGTCAATCGGTGAGTTATATTGCTGTCAATCTTGAACTTAAAAATTTTGATATAATTGATGCGACTATCATATTGTTCGTTATAGTGCAATGGTTGTGTTAAAAGATTTGATCAAGGAAAGGAAAGATTTATTGGAACCTGTATTTTATGCGGAGAAAAGATTCGAATTAAGCTTTTACCGTAACCAGGTAAATCTCGATATAGATTATATGCTTATAAAAGCTGGTATTTGGCTAAGCAGTTTTGTTTTAATTTTAGGTTATGCACTTGTTTGTCTCTGAAGGTATTTTATTTTATGATTATTTTTATTTTTATATTCAACATTTATTTTTAGCTATTTTCCAATGTGAATGTTTTGGCCAGCTATAATATCGGTAGCAATGTACACTAAAATAAAGCAAGGCGGTGCCAAGCCAACACAACGTTTAGATATTGAAACTCTTTTAACAGAAGTAGAGTTTCTTTCTCAGTTACTCAAGGGAGAATTTGTGTATAGACCTGGTGAAATTAAGGATAATATACATAAAACCTTAATAGGATTGAAGGTATATTTAAACTATCATAACTCCTGAGTTAATGAAACAATGAATATTAATTACAACTTAACTAGTAGAATGATAATGTGTTTAATTTTTGTGATAAATATGTGGAATTATCTGATGCCGAAAGAGCTATTGGAAGAGAAAATTATGGTAGTAACATATTTCATTCACATGATTTCGTTGAGTATATCTGTCATTATCGGTAAACGTATATTTAACTTACGAATATAGATTTTTACTGCTTCTTAATATGGCCTTTTATCGAAACATATTGGCTTGCTGGTAAGTGGAACATTGTTACTGTGTTCCAGACTATTACCTTCGCGTCTCTAATTCATACCAAAAATAGTCGTAAGTCTGTTTTCTATGACTCCCACTAATTCACACCGTCGACTGACGACACCGATTGTAAATAAAAACACAAATAACAAACCTGTTCCTATCACATGGTTTAGTGAGAGGGATTTTCAAAATAAATGCCAACTCTTTGGTAAAACTCTGTATTATCAAGGAGATCTTTCTTATTTTGAGGCAGTGAACAAGGAAACGTTAAAGAATGCATTTATTTACCTGGAAGATGCTGGTGTCATCATGGTAAAGCGAAGCCGAAATGTTAAAATACAGCCTACTATTGCTTTAGCACCTGATTTTGTACCAACAAGGAACTCTGATGGAGTCATAGAAGCTAAGGGAGAACTGTGGAATTTAGTTGAAAAAATTGGAAAATTTCGAAGGGAAGGAAAAAATCGTAGAGATAATGCTACAGTTAGTTCAAGAGTGTTAAAGTTAGCAGAGATGGTAGGCACTCCAACTACAGCTGATGTAGATGTGATAACAAATTTAACAAGTAGGCCCTCAAAGATAGGGAAACTAGAAGCAAAACTTTAATTTTTTTTAAAGTTTGAAAAGTCATTATTACCACATTTTCACGATGAACTTTGAGACCTTCTTTATTACACAAAAGACTATAGGTTCGAAGAATTGTTTAAAACTTTAGTCACATTTATTCAATATTACGTTAGTAAATATATATTTATTTTGTACGTAAAAAAATTTTAATGGCGACCTCGACAATTTAAGATATTGATTGATAGTTTCGTAACATTATAAATAACGATAATGATATTTCAATGATTATTGATGATTATACCTTATTTAGGGGATGTCTAAAGCGGAGATAAGTTATATAATTAATTTTATTGAATTAACTTTAGGTTAAGTCATTTTAGATTAGGGTTAGGTTAGGTTTTAGATAGTTATATATATGCAAAATTGCCTTCCCGGCATTTTTGCTTAACCTACCCAAGGTAGGTTTAGACTGCTGTTTTTGTATTTTTTAGGTTTTTCATTTTTCTTGTATTTCTTCGCCGGCGATCATCAAAATTCTATAATTTGATTGGTCTATAGTCACATGATTTATCTCCGCTTTAGATCGGGGATAACTACCGTACAGCGCTGCATACAGTACCCGGGTCTTTTTCAAAAAGTCATTGCTAATTAAATAATACCCTGGGGATACTGTGTTAAGAGGGATTCTATGCAAGTGGGATATATTGAAGAGTATTATTAAGCAATCGTATTGATTCGGATCATGTCATCAGCTTTACCCGTCTTTAGAGATGGGCATTCTGTATTATGTTCATTACATTATGCAAAACATAATATCGCATAATGTAATGTAGACCTTTTAAAATTTAAAAGTGCACATAGAAATTACTATATAATTTTAATGAAACAAAAATTAATAAATGTTATATTTTATATCATATGTAATATTAAGTGATATGTAGCATCAGTTAGTGATTTTCTACCTGTATAAAGCAGGTTAACTAATATAAGGTTTGAAAATACTATAAAATAGTAAACTTCTGTCTAGAGATAAGAAAGATTGGGTATGAATTCTTGTTTCTTGATTTTGGTAGAACACCATAATTGCATAATGTCACATGCTGCATTATGCTGCATTATGCAATGCAGAGCCAAAAAAATTTGCATTCGCATATCTCTACCTGTCTTGCATATTTAACTATTATAAAAACCGATTAATCAATAGAGTTGAATGAGCTAATAATTTCTTTAATCATGAATGTAATATAGTGATGGCATAAAAAATGTAAAAAAAAAATATAACTAAATAGAGGTTCAATCAAAATTGACTAAACATCATAACTTTATAACTTTATAAAAATGAGTTTACAAGCAAATAAAAGAACAAATCATGCAACAATTATAGAAAAATAAAATGACAATAGAATGCATAGGAAAAAATTGGCATTATTTTTTATCATAAAAATGGTCATAGCAAACATCAAACAGCTATTAAATTTAATATTAAGACAAAGCAACTTCAAGACTAGATTTTTAAAAAATCACAATTTTTAAGAGCACAACCAGGTTTAAAATGTTTAAATAAAGGTGTTTCTTTAAAATATTCTAATTTAGAAGCTTTTTTGATTAAGTGGATCAAAGAAAGATGAAACAACTAACAGGCAATTTCACAAAAGATGGTCTAATTAAAGCTAAATTATTTTATAACAAGATAAATAGCAATTTTTTTTGTTTGTTAAGGTGAGAACTTGTTTCAAATTTTATTATTACATATTGTAATACATAATCAATCTATATTAGTTTAAGGTTTAGACTATTATCTACATTCCATACCTACTAGAGCTAATATGTTTTACTCATATATTACAATTTGGTTACTCTTACTGCATATTCTTCTTATATTTCACTAGTTTCATTAAATTGGTTTTTCTATATTTAAAAAATTGCTATTATATTATAACTCCTAATTTAATATACTTGTTATACATATTTTGTTATATTTTAGCTGCTACTTTTTATAGTAATATCTGCAGCTATTTCTAACTAAATGCATCTAATAGTATATATCTCAAGCCAGATATCTGCTGTCTAGCTAGGTTCTTATATAAAAGAATTAGTATTATACTGTTAAACAAACTCTTTTACTCATTCTTAAATACTACTAATTTGTATCTTAAGTCAGGTTTCTACTACTATTACTAGTTTGCATACTCCAGATTTCTTATAGTACTAGCTTATTTTTTAGTATATTCTTTGCTATAGTAGGCTTTCACATTGTCTTTTAACTTCTATATAAATATAACCAAAGTCTGTTGATACTCTTAAATATATAAAATTTATTGATTTGCTTCTATTAATTTTTAAGTTTCTATCTAGATCATCATTGTTCTACAGTACCAGAAGTGTTTTTAATTTTTTTAAACTAATCTTTTATTACAGATCTTTATCATGTTTACTATTTTTTCACTACTCAGGTTCTGTTATACTCAATATTGTGCTAAATATTAGATGTAAACATTAAATTACTCTTGTTTAGTTTAGTTTAATCATTAGACCAAAAAGTATTAGACATTAGATATATATAATATATAAATCAAATATATATTCATATAACAAATAATCAATTAATAAATAATTCACCAGTCATCTGGAGAGCTATATAATGCATATTATACAAGATTTATATATAAATTATATATAAATTTTTCAATTAGTAAATGTAGAGAGATTATATTTAAAACTTAAATAAATTACTCTTAGCCTTATAATAAAAGTTATAGAGCTTATTAAGATGCATTTAATAGTGATAAAAATATTAAAATTAGTTTGGTAGTTCTTGAAAAATCTTTAAAAAATGTTTCAATATATAAAATTTCTTTAAAAAAAAACAATTTTTTTAAAAAAATTTTATATGTCAGTAAAATATTTTTGGAGATTTCTTAAGAATCATCAGGCTGATTTTAATATTTTTACTACTATTAGATACATCTTAATGAGCTTTATAACTTTTATTATGAGCCCAAGAGTAATTTACTTAGTAAGAAAAAGTTTTAGATGTAATTTTTTCACATTACAGTCAAAGATTTTGCTAAATATAGACAGTATAAATCTCACCTTGTATAGTAAAAAATGTTGATCACATGATTCTAAATTATTTGGTTGTATAAAAATTATATATAATTGATCAATCAAATTTAACTACAATAAAATTTACTTATTAATTAAAAGAAGTTTATTATCATTTGCCTTTTTTATAATGGCTTATTGCAAGAGATCAAGTGGGATCATTTAAAGTAGACATCTTATATTAGCTAATTGTATATTATTTAATATTAAATAAAAAATAAAATATTAAATAATTTTATGGTGATAAAAAATGTTATACAGCCAATCAAATTCATGGAATAATATAGAGATCATTCTAGAATATGATTTTCTAATTTAGTAAAATCCTTGATTGCATTAGCTTAATAATAAAATTTACTTATAAAACTTGCAGATCCTCTTTAGATGACAATTAAAAATCTTTTTTACTATCTTATAATTATGTAATAATAATAAATAGAAAAATAAAATAACAACCTATCACTATACAACCTTTATATGATTGATTAATTATAGGCTTTCACCTCTATAATTATACAGTTTGTATCAAAAAAAGTGGTGATTATAAAAAAGTGAGATTATTTATAAGTTTTTTTATGTTTTTTAATAAATTGTTTCAAAAATTAATGTGATTATAGGGTGTGATGATTTAGTGAAGTTGGTAAGTTGGTACACCTCCAAGCAGTAAGACAAGAGTTCGAATCCTACTAGCAATAAAATTCGAATTTTATAGAATATATTATAGCAGACTGTGTATAATTTGATGGATTATCAGATCTGTAGTTTTGGTTATACTAGCTTGTACTAGGAGGCTATAGAACATTTAGTATGATGTATGAGTTATACAAAATCTAAGTGAAGCAACCAGGTAAATCTGAAGGCTGCACACAAAAGCCTGCTTGGCAAGTGCTAAATAAAAAGATAATACAGACTTTGATAGTACTATATAAAGGATTATTAACCAAAGAACCAGAAACCAGACAAGACTGAAGTGTTTAGCAAGGCACTATATCAACTAGACAGCTAGTGAGAATTAGAGGAAGAGGTCCACCTTTCCAAGCTATTTAGATTAGGAATTTGAAAAACTGAAGAAATGGTAGATGGTCTATAAAGTGGGTGCTGAAGTTTAGATAAACTCTACAAAGGCAGAAGTAGGTAATGTTAGTGGCTTTAGCTCACAAATACTTGTTTTCAGACTTGGCATAAGTTATTAAAAGTTTAGATTAGCCAGATTGTAGATATGAAAAGCTTTAGCAACAATGCCTCAAGGATAAATTAGTCCTAAGGCTAAGGTACACATCCAAAACTTCTTAACTGACAAATATAACAGAAATATTCTAATGACACAAGAAGGTTGTATATGTTATAGAGGATTTAAATAGATAATCACCTAGTTAGGTTATAGGTATAGCAACTATAAAACTTACAAAAAGAACCTCATATACTTTCATTGACCCATCACTTTTTTTAAGAAAATTTTTGTAAAAA